CGTCCAACAATAAAATTTAGAAATTACAACTCACTTTTATTAGTTAATTAGAACAACTAAGAAAATAAAATTAGAATTTAGAAGCACCCAATTGATCATGTATTGTTAATCTTAATTGTATGATGATATTCACCATCTTAACTTGAACAGCTTCTTCACCCATGTTGGGTTTGGTGTCAGAAAACGAAAACGTGAGTGGTGAGTGGTGAAGAGAGAGCAGAATAGAAGAAGTAGGGCCCAAGCGTGGGATTGCAGAATATGCGAATGTGCGATATCGGAGTAATTGAGCGTCAGGAATTTATAAAAACAACATGGATTGGGGAACAAGTAAAGTAAAGTAAGGCAAGGGGAAGGGGGCGTCGGATTTATAGAAGAAATATGAAAGCAGGGGGGCTGAACTGGTAACCGGTAAGCCCTAACATCACCCACCGGCATGACCTGGATTTTCATTTTTCATTTTCTTTTCTTTCCATCACAAGGTAGTAAGCAGCGAATACTGATTACTGAATGAATGTGATGTGGCAGTGGCACACACATTAAGGCCTATATTATATTATATGTGCGTCACAAATCACAAATCACAAATCACAAAGCACGCAGCCTACGCTTATCTAATTCTAATTTCTAATATATGACGAGTAATCACCATTTCATTTCATGCAGTTCAATATACAAACTTCAAATTCTTTCTCCATGTTTCTACTCCTTGTGCTTTCTGCATTCAACCAAATATTTTACCCAACTAGCCACCTACCCTTACTTCCGTGGGACTCCCTCCTTTTCAAAACGTGGGGATGCTGGAACTCAGTTTCGTTTCGTGTAAAGATCCCTTTTTTTAAAAAAAATATCAAAAGTGGCTCTCACATGGGTTGCTCCATCTCTCTCTACGCTCCACATTTTTACTCCCTCGCCACCATCCACCAAGATAAAACCCAAATTTTAACCTATTACTTTTCTACACAAAAGGAAAGCGTTACGTATATACTTCACCAACTTAATTAAAGTAAACTAACCCAGCTGCAACTGCACACTCTGACTGCACTGAAGTATTCAGATAAATTAAAAATTGAAAAAAGATTCGACTAAGAAAGACTGAAAACTTTAACCACCAATGAAGCAGAGAGAAAAGGTGAGCGTAACCCTTTTACTTTACTTTACTTTACTTTACTTAATGAGGAGGGTAACACGTGGAAATGAGTCATCATCGGACATTTTACATAAAGGCAATATGCACCACCATGGATCCTCGAGCCTGCCATTCAACCACCAAATTTCCTTCCTCACACTACAGCCAATATGCACCGCCATGGATCTTCTTGGCCTTGCAGTTGCACACAACTTTAATTACTGCAACAATCAGCCGTCCATGCAATTCTTCTCTCTACCTTTTCTCTACTTAATTATTGCTATTACACAGTTGGAACAAAACTCCAATTTGCTCATCTACAAACGCATATAATATTGGGATTTTTAGTTGGTGGAATAGCTCCATCATTTGATTCCGGCTTTCTTTTTCTTAGCATACCAAATTTGTATAACATCTCCTCCCCCTGCCCATGTTCCCGCCGAATAAACTACATGCTATTTTATTTTCATTCACTGGGCAGTGTGGAAATTACAGAATCCCCAAACTTCAATATGGTTGGTGCAACACGGATGGAAATTCACTCGTATCAACATGAAATTGTATGACTAGAAATGGGACACTGGTGAAGTTGAATTGCATTGATTGGATCAAAAAAGGTCTAAGAGTTCAATGTTAACTGTTGTAAAATTGTATATGTAGTTGCAAAAATCAACTTTACGGGCATCCAGCCTTGTTTCTATTAACGAAATTCCCGCAGCTATAGAAACTTCTATTCTATAATCTGGGTTCAGAAATATAGCATTGTGATTCCATCCACAATGTTAGATCAACACCAATTCTTGAAGTAATTGTCAGCTGTAGAATAAAAGGCTAGGATCTAGTGAACTCGACTACATTTCAAAACATATACATAAAACACCTTAAGAAAAAGGAGATGAACAGTGAAGCTGTTTTATACAAGAACATGGGACTCCTGAAGCTGAGGGCGTACATAGTACATACACAAGGCCCAAACTAAATATTGACGTTGACGACATACATATTATACCTCACAATCCTAAGCTGTTATTTCCAAAAACCTTTCTTTTTTTTCTGTAACCCCCCATAAAGGGCATAAAAAACTATGGAGGCTAACAGAAGAGAGAGAAAAGGTAGCTGCGCTGGTTACGGTTAGAGCACTTCCAGATGCTAATAAAAATTATGGACAATACTACAACTACAAGCCTAACTACAGAAACGTAGGAAAGGATTGAGGGTGGCAGCGCCTTCACCAATCTTCTTTTGCCCGTTAAGAAGTCAATTTTTGAGCCATAGCTTGTGACTGCTGACTTCGCACTGGCTTCCTGGGAGGCTTTACTACTGCTCATGCCTGGCTCTGCAACTGGCATCATCTGGTCCTTCTGTTTCACAACATCAACCGTGGCCACCACGGAATCACCATTACAGGCAGAACCACCTCCAATAGTCTGTTGGTTTTCTGAAGCTTCTTTCAACTGCGTGGCAATAACCGTATATAAATTTTCAGCATGATATTATAGTAATGGTTCCAAGTTGCATTTTACTTGATGAACTACTACTTTACCTCGCTTGAGAATGATGGGGGGTCATCATCCCCCTGTCGGCCACCAGAGTCACTAGACATATTACTAGAGCGTGAGGATGGCACTTGAAGTTTGCGTTGCAGACGTAACCTTCTAATTGCAGTCCCCTGATATGTAGAAAACTCATTCGGTGGCTGCTGACTTCTTGACCAGCGGCTTCTTCTACTAATGCCAGTTGCAGCTTCAGTACTTCCAACGGCAGACAATTTATTGCATGATTCCTGAAGGCTACCTGATAGGTTGTAAAAATGACCTGCCAGAAACATTTAGCATGCAAGATTATTTTAAGAAGATATGTCGTAGGCTCGTTGACATTATTGTGAGAAGAGAGAGGAGCAGCACCTTGTTCTGTTGGTGCAATTTTCATATGATCAATAATAGGAGTCTTTCTTTCGATATCCTCCAGATAAAGTGAGCTTTCAAAGTCTGGCATAACCTGCTTAGAGACAATAAATTAACAAGGAACTTATTCAAAACAAAAACAGAAACCATTGAGTGAACATGTAAGATTATATTTTAAAAGAAAAAGCCTGCAAGAAAGGTTTCACTAACCACAGCTTTAGCATTTTCAGCCTCCACTTCGCCATAAAATCCATTGTCTGAGCTAGCCACTGTATTATCCAGAAACTCACTTTGGGACATGGTTTCTTGCTGAAAGTCTTCAAATGAATAATCTTCCGAACTATTCAGGACAGATTCTATGAACTGCGAGATATAGGCATCCGACTCCTTTGTCCCACTCTGTATATGCCCTGCATTAGCTCCACAGTTCAGGTAATTGCTATCAGAGTAGTATATGCCAGACGATCCTAGCTCTGCTTGCATCTGCAAGTGCAATGGGGAAAATAGTTTGCTGTCAAGTGTTTCGTCCTCGAAATTGCAGAACCTTTTCCACTCTTCATCTGGATGGGGATCCATCTGCAACAAGTAGACTCTGACACAATTTAGATTATGCACAAATTCTTATAATAAGAAAGAAAAGAATAAGCAAATCTCTTACTGCTGCATTATGTTGTTCAAAACCATGAATTTCAGCTGAACCATCAGTAGGTTCTACTATTTCAGATAGCACTCCATCAGAATTTTCAGGCAGTCTTTGCAGTGAAGGAGAAACTGAAGGTAGTATTGGCTCTAAATTGGTATCTACAGGAGATGATTCAGCTGTGGTAGGAGATGAAATAGCAGCTTCAGCTTCATCGCCATTAGACTCTTCAATACTCTCATCCTGCTTCTTAAACAGACGACAGAGGACAAAGGCAGTCTGGAACAACAGAAACAACACCTTAATAAGTATTGAAACAGGAACATTCGAATATTCAAAAAATAGACTTCACGGGAACGCTGAACACTAAGAACTGATAAATATAAAGGACGAACTTAGTTGTACAGAAGAAGAAGTTGAAGAATTCTCGAAGTGTATTCTCAAGTAACAAATAGACAATATATCGGAATGTTTGTCAGTAGGGATTTTGAATATAAATATAAGATGCTGCAAAGAATAAGCTGGAAGAAAACCCCAATGTTAACATAGTGAGAAGTTTAGACACTATTAAGTAGCGGTTCAACAGAAACAAATATTGAATTTCTCTGACTAAATGAAATCGTCCATCACGGATTCTGAATGCAGGAAAGAGAGATAGAAATCGTTCCAAGCAACTGTATGAGGATCTTAAATGTCACCGTTGAGGACTAGACTAATAAGACAGAATCGTAATCATGAATTCGGGCGGCTAGCGAAAAGGAGGAACTAGAAGAAAATCATACCTGCCCAGGGTTAGTGCCATCAAGTTCCTTAAGAGTAGTACGATACTCATGGACAACCCAATTGGTTCTCTTTCCCTTGGGAGCACGACCGGTGTAGAAGACCAATGTCTTCTTCATCCCAATCAACTTAGTTCCAGACTTGATTTTGCGATCCTTACCCGTTGCCTTCCAGTAGCCAGCAGTGGTAGCTCTCTTCAAGCGGTAGCCGTTGGGGTACTTCCTGTCCTGTGGACAAAAGAAGAACCACTCCGGATCTTTCGTCTTTATAATCGATAGATCTGCGCCCAACAAAATAGGAGGGGGGGGGGAAAACATGTTGTTAGAAAAATCAAACTCCGGATAGGGGTGATAAAATAAAAGGTGATCGGGTAGAGCTAATCAAAACAGTCGAGTCAGTTGAAGCGATACAGAAACTAGGGATAAGTCGATGGAGGAAGAGAGAGTGAGAAGCGAAAATGGAATAGAATGAAATCATATTCGAGATGTCCGTAAAGAGCAGGTGAAGAGAGATATGTGAGTGATAAGACGTAAAAGAAAGAAAGGAAAATTGGGGAAGGCAGAGAGGGTACCAGGAAGATCCCAGGG